TCTCTCCGTGCCGTGCGCGTCGTGGGTTTTGTTTTGTAGTTTTTTAGATTCTTCACGTTGGTCAGCGTGAAAGCCATGAAGTCTTGCTGCAGTTCTGGTTTCGATATACTTGCCAATGATGTTAACCGTGGCTGGGACTCAAACTCAGGTATCAGGGGATTCATAGTGGATTGACACTCACCACTTCACTACTGGTCTTTCGGATGCTGACAATAGCCGCACAAAAATTACGCTTAAAGAAGGTCAGTGTTTTATTTTGACAGCGAAATCTTGAAACGCCATTTGCATCAGTGTAGAGATAATGACATAGTGCTGAGCCCCAAGCCATCCCACAATAGAGCAGCACATGCTCCATATGGCTGGTGCGCCTGCTCCCGTCGACATTAGTATGATTAGTGGTGCCGCCCCGTTCTTTGTTACTGTCCTCAGCAGGAGGTGAGTGCAGTTTAAGCTCCTCTGCTGCAGCATTTGGGCTCACGGCTACACTCTACGGTGACCGGAAAAAAATGCAGGGGATTGAATTGGCAGTGGTTGCACAAGCACAATTCAAAATAAAATTTGCCACATTTGTCACGAATAATGTCACGTAAAATAGCATAATAAGGTAATGGTTCCAGCATTAAAACAAATGTTTATGGTAATGGTACCTGAGAGAAGAAGAGCCAATGGCCAATATGTTATCAAATAATATACTGTTCTGTTATAAGCCTGTGAAAGCAGCACCGTAGCCCTTGGCCCACTGAACCCATCCACTTGAGGTCGATTCCAGGCCACGGTTAACATGAATGGTGGGGTCTATATTTTAAGTTTTCGTGACTGCAGGGATCCATACTCGTTGGTTCTTTCGGTAAGAATATGAATGGTGGGGTGCTATCTAAACCGGTCCCGGACTCATACTTCACTAACCCGCACTGTCCAGCGAGATTAAGTGTAGGAAAACAATCCCCAAGACCAACATGACATGAGGCCTTCATCCAGCAGTGGATTGGCAAACGGTTGTACAGGTATAGCAAGTAAGATAATGGCAAACTTACGTGTTGAGTGGTGCAGGAATATTCTGAGTGCTGTTTATTGTATACTCACCATTCCATTTATGTTGGCAAAATGTTTGTGCCACCATAAGAGAATTAATCAGGAAAAATAATGGGGTAAGAGTGGACAATGTCTTCCCTGTAAACTCTGCATGTTACTCATTAGTTCATGTTACCACATTTATACAGCACAAGATGCCATAACGCCTTTATTCCAAAACTCTGCCAACTACACGATAAGAAATTCTTGTAAATATTTTCACCATATTTTATGGTATTTCCTCATGGGGAGTTACCATTTATTATTGGAGGCATAAATGTATTTCGGTAAGATATGTGTGTTACCTATTTAGCTGTTCTGTTTAAATAGCTGGACTTGGGGGGTATTGAAATAATGGGTTCAATGAAATACTACTGTATGTACAGTAATATTTCATACGTTACATTAATGAGGGATACTGCTCTCGTGTCATGGTTAGAACCCTGCCTTAGTAGATCAAACAATGGGAACATTTCTTTAATAACCATCAGCATTTCAGTTTTCTTTTTTTTTCAGCCATTCGGCTCTTGAATCGGGTGCAACCGCAACAAACAAAAAACAAAAACATGAACAAGAAAACATCTTAAAGTGACTATGCGCAAACAGAAAAATCCAGGTAAAAACTGCAAAGTCTTCCAGAAAAAAAGCATAATTTGCACACCACAGCTAGTCGATCAGCAGGTTACATCTGATAATGTAAAGTGTGGGTACTCCTATTTCTTCTAAGGGATCTGGTCAGCGTAGAAGAGCAGGCCTATTACCCTTCAGGGTGGGGGGGAATCTCCAGAGCTCCCTCTCGTTGAGGCATTTCCGCCAGCATTGCTGTGGGCAAGCAATTGCAAGGCTGCGCCGTCACCGTTTCTGTACGTTCGTGCACATCACGAACGGCGAATCGTCCCAGCGCAATCAAACTCTCATACAATTTGTGCGCTGGAGGCTGCGTGGAGGGGGCATCACACGACCGCTGCTCTTGTGGTTCACACATGGGCGGCGGACCACAGCCACGGCTAATTAAGCGCTCCAGAAGAAACCGCTGAAGCTGCCCTAAATTCATGCTGACGAGCTTCTTTGGGGCTTGGCCACTCTTGCCAAAGGCAGCCCAGCCGCTGCTTACCCGAAGGTGTGACACGGCTTACGCCTGCCCAGTCGGGGCATGATATTTCTCACGGAAATGTATTAACGGGATGCTGGCAGACTGTAGAAGACGTGGCTACTGGTGGCCACGGCTATGGCGAGAAGGTGGTATACTGGACGTGGTGAGCCACAGACCTGGGCTGCAAGTAATCCCTGCCCACAGCCATAGCCAGTTTTCCCTTTCAAGCACACACTTACAACATCTCACCACCGCTGCAATGTCACCGTGACGAGAAAATCATTCTGGTCATAGTTGTACAGTTTCTCTGTTGTTTTATTCAACATTGCCTGGGCCAGTGTGTCTGTTTTGTATTATTGCACGTATTTAACATGTACGAACAACAAGTAGACATGTTCAAATACGTACTGTATTACATCTTTCGACAGTGTATCACATCCTTGTCCACTGTAATATAAACGCGATTACTGATCACTGTCACATTGCATATGTGTAGACCATTTCACCGTGTTTACTTGGCGCAAATGCCTTAAGCACAGAGGTGAAAACTAAATATTATTACGGTGTTTAATATCACTGCACAAACACGAATGGCGTGATCGCAACAGTCAAGATGATACTGAATACGCTGTTCAATATTCATCTGCAGGGGTAGACCTATCAAGGCAGGACTGGGCATTGTATTTCATTTTACATTATGACAATATGCTGCAGAAATGTAATGGAGCAGGAATACTCAGACGGCTAGGTCATAATATTGATATGAGTACAGTTGACTTGAAAATGTAATGTTTTCAAATTGTCAGCCATACTTCCCCAAATGTAAACATCAGACTACTCAAATTATTAATATGGCATTTCTATATCATACACTTCTACAAGTAAAACATGCAACTTCTGCAGTAATTGTAACACTTTAAAAGATGCGATGTTCTGTAATACCCATTTAAGTATTGGCTGGCGATCCCAACCATTCCTTTAATATACCAAATGTATACATTTTCAAACTCATATTGTGAACATGATAATGTATGTTGATATAATGATTAGTAAACATACAATATTACAGCATATGCATAGAAATTTAAAATAATATGCTATCTAGGACGGTGGGGAGTGGGAGGCTAACCCCTGCATTTTCCATTCGTCTGGGTACCCTCCATGGAGCCCCAATAAGTAATTGGGGTAAGAAGAGGTGCCTGCTTGAGCCAAGTATACAAAAAATAAAAGTGCAGCCCAACAATTTATTTGTTCAGAGCCACTGCTGGAGAAAGGGCCTCCACTAAAGGGGAGCTCTTACAGAGCCCTTATCTGGAGGGTATTTTTGGCCTCATATTCCATGCTGGCCAGATTTCTTCAAAGGAAGAGCCTTTTTTCGAAATAAAGTACTGTAGAAATACGATTTAAAGGGAAAAAAATACTCGGGTAAATGTGTGAGTTAATATTACTGTAGAAACATATCATAGCAGACAAAAGCATACAAAGTCAGCCGTTTTGGAGCGTGTAATCATGACGACCATATGGCCCCATCCGGCCCTATGGTAGCCAATGTTGCGCGTGCAAAAAGTGCTCATTTCAAAGGCTTGTTTGAATAAATGTGTTTCAGATGCAATTGTGAATTTTTACTTCCCTTACACTATCATTGTTGATACAGTGGTGAAGAAATTACAGTAGAGAAGGGCACGTGACAGCCATTAATCTTCTCTGACCTGCACAGATCAGGGGTTAATTTGCAGTGAGTAATTGCCATTTGTATTGATACATTATACAAGTTGGACATTCGCGCAAAAATATAACGTGAGGTTAGGCACTGCAATAAAAACACATCAAGGGTGATAATGAACAATTAAAGTCACGATTTTTACCTCGGCCTTCCAATAAATGCAATTAGTTAGCCATGTCAATATTTTAGTTCATATCAAAAAGTAAATTGTAATTTAACATTCTTTTTATAGGAGTAGACACTCGATCCAGAGCCGACGTGCACCCGATTAGCTTATCAAAGGTTCAAGGATCAAGGTGTGAAAGTTCACAGCGTCATAGATGGAGGGCATCGGACCTTTTACATTACACAAGAGGAAACTGTCAACATCTAATAATAGTGTTGAGCTCGGTACACTAGTAGTAAAACTTTATAACCACGAGGAGTGCATTGATGCATCTTCAAGTATTCTTAAACAAAAATGTACAGTAGATTTTGAAAATAAAAGGATGCCATTGCTCATGTAAGCATGAAGACAACCACATTTACTTCCCACAAAGTGTGTCCAATACATTTTATTGACACAAAAAATATTATGGATCAAATTGACAAATTATTGGGATTTGAACCTGTGACCTTCGGATTGCCAGTGGAGTGTTCTGCCACAGATTAACAAAAGCAAACGGGGTTTTTTTTCTGGTCAAATAAAAAAAAACATTAACAATTCGTGAGAAAATGGATAAGGTACGTACAATTTTCATCTTGTGAAAAGCTTCCTGGGAGAACAGAACTCCACAACAGTTATTTTGCAAGCAATGTATAAGTAACAGTATGTCGACATGCAGTTCTTTGTCTAAAAAAAGAAAAATCCCGGTAACATGCACATGTGTGACGACTTGACCTCAGAAGGGACCTGTTGGGGCATCTGCTCGGCCTGAATTATTCATGTGCCACACTCGAGTGGCCGCTCCGTGCCTCACTGAGCTTTATATAACAACCCACCACTGGTGGAAGCAGTTTGTTGCCCCAGGTTGTTAATCGAGTGAGAAAGAGAGGGAGAGCGAGAAACGAGAGAAACAGTGGGAGAGGCTCGGGAAAGAGAGCAAGGGAGAAGGAGTGAGACACGTGGGAGATGAGGGGGGGGGGAGAAGGGGATAAGGACAAAAGCAGCAGGGAGTTAATCGAATAAGCAGAGGGAAAGACATGGAGAGCTCAGCACCTTGCAGTAAAGGCGTGAGTGGCAACCATTGGAGAGAAAGGACTTGGTAATTGCCCACACAGCTGGTTTACTCTATGCTTACACAGATGGCTGGCAAAAGCGGGATTTTTTTCTTGGTGGGGGGGGGGAGCGGGTGGTTTGTACTGGTGACTGGTGTCCTTGCGTCAAATTACAACAAAAATATATTCTGGATCCACAACATCTGCTAAAGCTTTTTTCTTAGCAGAAAGATAGATATCAAGTTCTGGCAGTGGAATATTCAGGGAAACATCTAGAACTGTCACACTATTGTGTTAAAGTGGTAAAATAAAAAAAATTCACCCACATAGTTTATTTCATAGAGTTATCTTATTCACTGGGGCCACTATCCACTATGCATAGAGTTTTCATGTCGGTTTATAGGAGGAAATAAAGTTTTCATGTCGTTTCATAGGAGGAATGCTGAGTTAGTTCGTTGTGTTTTATTAATGTCACTTAGCCTATATTTTGGAATGTTAATAGTGTGTATTGATTGCTGTTGTAAAATGTTAATGTTTTTTAAATTTTGACTTAAAACTTTCATGATTGCAGGAATTCATGTTTTAACGCAAAGATAACTCGTTCGTGTAATGTGATGTTCCCATTTCATCAGATGCACCAGAGCAAGCAGAAGTGCTTTGTCCACATCTTTTCAGGTAAAATGTAAAAAACGGGTTTTTTTCATATTAGACGCAGAATTGGTTTGTAAAAAAACAAGTGTGTCCAATTTGGTTGTTGTAATATTATTTATTGTTATCCAGTTGTAAAATAACAATAAAATAACAATAAATAACATTTTGAACGTAAGTTATTTTGTCCTTCAAGTGATGAAAACAAGAAAGCAGACTTACCAACTCGCATGTTTAGAACATGTCTGATCAATAATTAACATTGAAACTAGCAGACAGGATTGTGACCACGCCAAAACAATACAAAATGTATTTATTATACTGTGTTTATAACATTAAATCAAAGTTCAAAGAGGATTGTTCGTATAAAACCACGTTAGACTGATATGAAGCATTTCTGCCAGTTACATCATGCATTTGAAGAGTGGTAAGAACACTGGCCTATGGACCCATGCAGTAATGATGGATATGTTGCTGATTTTCAGATTAATATTCTTGTTTTTTTTCCGACAGCTCTGTTCTTCACCTGAGGATGGCTGCTTGCGTTGTGGCCGAAACGTCGTGAGAATTTTATTGTTTTATTTTTATTATTTTATTATTTCCCTTCTACATGACTTTACCGAAAGAACCAAGAATATGAATCCCTGCAGTCACGAAAGGTTTAAATCGAGATTTTCAGATTCATAAAAAATCGAGCCACAATTGTGCGTCTCATTGGAATTGATTATGATTGAATGCTGGTATCATGAAAGTCACATCAGATTTTTGAAGTTTTATCCAGTCAACTTTTTTTAGATACAGAATTATAAAAATCTGCTTGCATGTTATAGGTACAAAACAATTACACCACAATACATAAACCACTAATTAGAGATAAACTTTGAAAGTCACAAGGCATTGAACTAGGACTACATATTTGCATTTCAACGACCTTTGAAGTTGAAAAAGTCTACGAAATATGATCACTGTTGACCATGAGGAAAATATATTCTGCACCACTAAGCACAGAAATGTGCATCCGTACATTATTGCACATTTATATTTACAATTTTATTATGAGACATAATTTCAAGATCAGATTTGTTATGCTAATACGTACATGTCAAAGCATGTGTTTATTTCACAAAAAAGTATGCTGCCTTACTGCCTAGCATGTTAATATCTAATCAACACTAACCACTGAGTGTGTTTTGATGTCTTTTCAATTGCACTATTGTCCGACACTCGCTTTATGATGCTAATTCCCTCATCTGCATTTGCACGAGACATGAATGAGAATGTAAGGGGAAGCGGCATGTGTGCGTGGTTGATAGCAGGCACAGGAAGGCAGTCCCAGAAGAGTGGAACAGACTTCCTAATCCATTTCTCTCGCTGTCAGACATGATGACACCTGGGAACAGCTGAAAAAAAAACCTTTTTGGTCGCAGCTTCTTAAGAATTGGATAAAGCCAGATAAAAATGATTAAACAAGGTTCAATCTTGGGTGTACTCTGAGCTTTGGCATATTTACATTGGTTGGATGAAAGGTGAAATGAATACCTCAGATGTGCCAGGGTTGTACCTGAATAAAACGGTGATCAATGGTCAATGTCTCTGCAGGTCATTTCTGTAAGCAATACTGGATTTTAACTGCCCGCGTTGCCTTCAACTGAGAAAACATGCTACAGAAGCCCTTTTCTACGAACAACTGATTAGTTTGCTGATGTTCGTAAATTATATGTTAAGGTTATTTAAAAATTTCACCCCGCATGTAATTGGCCAGTCTTGTACGCAAAGCAGCAGTTACAATGAAGCGGCACATATATGTGTGACAGTACTACTGAAATTGGGGCAGCATATAATAAGAAAATGTACTAGCCTGGTTACCTTACATTTTTTTTTGCTTTCAACTTCTTCCCTCTGCTTTTAAAAGGCAATTGCAGGTTTTGCTAATGTGACTGACCATACCAGAGCTGTCCAACCTACAGACCACAAGCCAAATACAACTCCGAACTAATTTAATCCGGCCTGTAGCATCACTAAATTTTACCGATAAAAATGTGGTTCACTGGCAGCTCCCAAATAACTTTACATGGAGTGAACTTTTTTTGTCACTATGTAATGATATAACTGGAAGATGGTGTGGGTATGGGTGGTGTTGTATCAATGCAAACCTCCATCTCTTCTGTCTTTCAAATATCACCTTCATATATCTCCCGCACCTCTGATTAGCATGGTAGGCTACGTACTGTGCGAAAGAAGTTCAACACACATACATTATATATTTCTCCAATCTCTTATATATCTCTCTTCTGAATATGTTCCCCAGTTCTTTCTTGTATCTCTATTTTGAACAAATATTTCTTCTCCTTGTATAATCTTCTTCGTCGTCCACGTGTTTGTCCCACTCACGTGGAGTCCGCTGTCCTTGCCAACCTCCATGCTTCCCTGTCCTGCACCATCTCTCTTTCCGCTCCTCGGGCCACCAATGTCTAATCGCACCACATTGCCCCACCTCGTCTTCTGCCTTCCTCTTGATCTCTTTTCTTACACTTGCATCACTTGCACCTTCTGACTCACGTAATTTTCTTGTTGTCTCTCAACATAACCGAACCACAGCAGCCTTTTCTCTCTCTCTCTCATCTTCTCTGTGATTTCTACCACCTCTCACTTCTTCATTTCTCACCCTCTCCTTCCTTGTTAAGCCCAACATCCACTGCAACATTTTCATCTCTGTGACTGCCATAGGTCCTCCCTCTTTCTTGTGCCCCAGCACTCGACCCCATACAACAGCACCGGCCTCACCACCGCCTTGTACTATACACTACTACACTATACACCACTACACTATACACTACACTATGCACTACTATACACTACACACTTTTCCCTTCAACCAAACTGGGACCCTCTTATCGCACACCACACCAGTCATCTCTCGCCATTTCAGCCATCTAGCCCTTGTTCTTCTTCTCATTTCTCCTTCTCGTGATCCATCAGCACACATCGTTGCACCCAGGTACTTCAACTCGTTAATCTTCATTAACAGGTCACTTACAATTTGCAATCCTCCTGCATTGTTTCCACTGACATTTGCCACCATGTGCTCCGTCTTTATCCGACTGATCCTCAACCCATTCCCTTCAATCTTTTGCAACTGTAAATCATCTTCCACTACCCCTGTGTTTTCACCAAATAGCAAAATATCGTCTGCTTTCCTCTCCTTTTATTATACCGAACTCAACATAAATATTTTCATCATTGTGGAGAATATAAGCACAAACATGAATATGCAAGCAATGCACTTACTTCACGTGCTGTATTTGACCCTCCACATAAAATAAAATAAGTTTTATACATCCATCAGTCACACGGCCTTCTGGGAGTGCATAATCTAAGCAGCATCTGATAGGTTCAATACAACAAACTCTGGACTGGCCTTTACATTGTGTCTCATCAGTGCCATCAGGCTCATTTGAACCAGATGGTAATATACATTGCGTGAAGGGAGGCATATTTTCTGCTTATGTATCTGTTTATTATGTCTGTGGCCCGTGGCTGTCTACATGTTAGTCATTACGGGAGTCAATATAAAAACAAAGTTTGATCACTCCAGAGCGACACAACAGTTCTCATTACTGGAATGAATCTGCTGAGTTTTCCATTGTAGCTTGCAGCCTCCTTGGGGCAATGCTGGATTGTTCAAGGGCAAGCCGATTTCATTAAACATGGCGGAGTCATTTCAATAATTGAAATAAAGTAACGTGAATTATTGATTGGAATTTAATTATGCAAACCTGTGGCGAGTGAAAATATACACGGTGGCAGTTTAGTATGCAGGAAGACAACAACGATGATGATGTTATTTTTCCCCAAGTTCACACCTCAGTGCAGCCTCGTAAAAAAAATCCCATGTGGATAATATGGGGACAGCAATGTTATAATTTATTTATAACTGATTTTTACGTTTAGTTTGTTGTCCTTCCCCCGCACCTCCGATTAGGACGGTTGGCTACGTATGCTGCGATAGAAATTCAACATACATAAATCTGAACAACGGATTGCCATTGTTCACGAATGCGTTTTTTTTATCATTGCATTTTCTTCCACTGGGAATTTAGAATGTCTGAATGTGACTTCGTTTGAAATGACATATATAACACACAAAAAATGGGAGTGGAGTGGTGGCAGGGTGGTTAGCACGCTGCTCTACAGAAAACCTGCAACCTGGTTTCGATTCCCTGCCAAGGCTAAAGGCAGTGGCGAGTGATATTTAAACTGCCCTGAGCTCTCCTGAACCAACCCGCGCTGTCCAGCGTGGTGAAGTATGGTCAGGCAATTGTCATTAAGGACATGCAGTGGGAAGACCTTAATCCAACATCCACTGGACAAAGATCTGTAAAAAAAAAAGCAAAACATGCATTGTAAGGCGATACATGGTGAACGCATTAAAGGTATGTACAGGCTCCATTCAACTGTAAACAGTTTAGAGCTTTATAATTGTCTACGAATTTAGAATCGTCTATTAATTTTCTCATGGGCACCCGAGGTTTCAGTAACTAAGTGAATTCGGTAATCCTTTGCACACATTGGTAAACGTGATCAAGCTGGACAATAATCCCGAATACTCGTGCTGAGATCCACTGCCTTCAATAGGAATCTGCAAGTGCCATGAAAAGAAGCCTCTTGCCAGAGTACGGAAAATCCTGAAGCAAAGCAATCACCGAAACGATTATGTGTTTTTTTTCCTCCACTCTAGGTTAATGATTACATCATTTTATGATACCATTGTACTGAGTGGTACATACAGAATGACTGGTTAATGAATGGGGCGCCGAATTAATGATTAATTTTGAGCTTCCCGTTGAATAACAAGAGTGTAAACATTTTTGTGAAGCCATCATCCGTTGTCGTGTCTCACATTGCACACACTCTCAAATGTGTGTCTTCCTTTAATAAATGTATTCCAACTATATTCCTTCCATCACTAAGCTTTTCATTCGTGTGCAATAGCAAGTCAATATAAATAGTGCTCTCCACTCAAATTTGGCAGCAATAAAAGGGTAAAGTTATTTTCTGTATTCAATGTGCAGCCCTGAGCTAGTCATATAAATTCCACATTCCTATGGCGGGACTTGATTATCATAGGACAACCACTTAATTTCCCCCAGCCTAAAGTGGTACTCCTTTTATCGACCCAAGAGGGATGATGGGTTGAGTCAACTCCCAAATGTATCAGAAGAGTTATATTTAAGGGTGAAAAACATATTCGGGCTGTATTTTCATGGCTGTGCTGAGCTGCCCAAGTCTATTTTAAAGAGCCAGTGTACCTTTTTTCTAAAGCATTTCCACACAGAAGAAGCTGTTGTGTTCGAAACTACACCAACACGTGATTCCTTGTTTTTCTTCAGGCCCTTCTTGATTTTTTTTCAACTTTCTCTTTTCCAAGAAATGAAAGAGCAGCAACATGTAGCTTGTGTTACGCGTTCCCACGTTTAACGCATAAGGGGCATTGGAAACAGAAGTCTGCTCAATTATACGGACCTCTATTGTTGCACAAGGAGAGATGAGTAAATGCAGTGTCCTGTTAATTAAGTATCAGTTGTGTCTTTATATGGTTTTGGTCATCATGTGTTCAGGTGGGCAGGAGGTCGTGGGTTCGACCTTGACCCTGACGGCTGTATATTTTGAGTTTGCATGTTCTCCCTATGGTCGTGTGGATTTTTCTTCGAGACCTCCGGTTTTTCACTCCACATTCATTTCCGCATGATAAGCCACTTCGTTGAGCTATCATTTATTATCTAGGTAGATTCTGAAAAAAGAGCAATATATCTCATTGGGTTGTACCTGGTATTTTCATAGAATAATAACATTAATGTGCAATGCAAGCTCTTACACATATATTTGAAGGGATGCTGCAATAAATAAGTCCTCATTGCCAGTATAGATTATTTACTCGTGTAAATACACCAATGGCTAATACGTATCGTTTTAGAATTGAACACCCACCTAGTTATAATTATTTAAATAACGATTATATGTTACTCCCAAAGTCACGATTGAGGTTAATGTATATGTAATTGATGCTGCGTGAAATCTACAATTTGCCCATGCGTAATCCAGTATATCTCGAGCCTGTTCTGGTAACCCCACATTTGGGCCATGATCAAATCACCTTCAGCTGAGTCAAATTAGTACTTGCAAAGAAAGCTGCGTGTACATACCAGGCGCTTGTAGACTTGGGCTCTGAGGAGACCATAGAAAGCAGTGCACCAATTGTATTTCTGCATCTGAGTGGAGCTTTGAGTATTAAGCCCTTGTGTACGTAGGTTTTCTCTGTGTTCTCTGATTACCTCCCACGTGACTCCAAACGCTCGTCAAAGGAATTGGCCAGACAGCTCAATTCAGGGCAATCCTGAAAAAAAAATCTTGAATATCATTGAGGCTTT